TTTTTTTCTCTCGAAATAACCTTTGAACAAAATACTTTGTAGATTTATAGTTAAACCAACTCGTATGAAGTTCTTTGTAGAAAATTCAGTTTTTGGGGAACTAATGAAAGAAAAAGCAAATCCTAGAACTATTAGGCTCGGTTGAAACATGACGCGAACAAAAAGGAAAGGATTATATGTTTAGATTTGAAAGAGTAAGAAAATCTAGGATCCCCCTTTCTTGTTTCCTTTGTTAATTTTTGGTAACAAATTAGATACAAAAGAAATATCCCGGAGAGCACGCAATTCTATTTTTTGTTCTAAAAACTGATTTCATTTTTTTTTCTTTTCTTTTCTTTGCTCATAGTATTTAAGAAATCCCAAGACTTACCAAGAATGAAATCTTGATAAAACCGCTCTGATACCACTTGATAACAACTAGGTTGGGAATCCAAATTAGAGTAAGAATTTGAGAAGTAAATGCGGAAGCAATAACAACAAGGAATTGAACAACTAGAATTAAAGAGATGAAAATAAAGGATATGGGACGAATTCAAGGAAAGAATTCCAAGAACTTCCAAGAACGTAAGTTCTATAGCCTTGACAAGATCAAAGTAACAACGTCTTGATTTATGGAAGAAATCAAACGCCTTTACTTAAAAAGCAAATCAAAACAATAGATTTGGATTTTGACCACTTTACGAGTAACTTGAGACAACAATTAATAACTAGTATTAATCGTCTTCTAAGAATACGCCTTCTAAGAATACCACAAAGGAATCAAAGATATCATAAAAGAGTACTACCTTTGATAGCATCAAGAACAAGGATATAGCGGTTGAAAGATAAATCTCAAAGCACAAGTAACAAAGGTTCAAAAGAACTCTCAAAGTATGATATACTTAATCAATAAATGTTGTGTCTTATGAATGAGAAGAACTCCTTATTTATAGGAGTTAAAAGCACTTAAAATAATGTAGGGGGTTGCTAAAAAGTCATCTAAATTAGGTAGGGGGCTGCTAGGGGTCACAATAGCCATCAAACTTAGGTAGGTGGCTCCTAAGGGGTAACAAAAGCCATCAAAATTAAGTGGGGGGCGGCCAAATCCTTTTGGGGCAGATTTGGGCCTTAAAACTATTAGTTTGGGCCATTGGTTTGGACTCCAATTGGGCTCCTTTTGAAACACCCCCTTTTGGACCTCTTTTAAGGTCATTTTGAGCCCTATTGGTGGACTTCAAGGGCTGATTTGGTAACCCAATCTTCCTCCTCTTGGACTTCAATTTGGACTACCAAATAATTGTAAAACTTGGACAATTCATCTCCTTTGGGCTTGAGCTCTTCCTCTACAATTAAAAGCTTCTTTATTTGCCATTGAAGTCTAGCAACCTTAGTTTGCATCTCTTTAGCTTGAGATATTGTATATGGCCTTAGAGCTTTCAAAACTTTATCCTTGTCCTTTATGCTATCACCTAGCCAATTCACGTCCTTTATCCTTGAGTAGAGTTGAGCTTCCTAGGATGCTATCAGCATGTATGATGAAACAAGAGCTCCTACGATATGAGAGAAGTGAAACAATCTCCATTGAAGATACTATCACTAAACTAAACACTAGAGCAGGGTTCATAAGAAACTATAGAAGTATAGTGACAACTATCTTCTCATCAAGAATATCAGATAGTCAATTGTTAAGAACATAGGGTAATTTAGACAATAATAATATAAAGGGTCCTCGTTCAATTTCACACTAACTCTAATAGTTTATAAAACTAAACACTAGAGTAGGCTGGAAAAGATATTGATTTTACTTAAAGTTGTCAATAGGTTGGAGTTAAGTTATCAATCACTGTGAAACTTTAATATACATGTATCCAAAATGTATATAAATTAAAATAAACACTACAACAAAAAAGTACAAGGTTCAAAGTGAAGACTAACCTTTTCCCTACCAGAAGGGCCACTTCAGTTGATTCACCAATTTTATCGCATGTCATCTGGTTTGGATTACATTTTATGACAAACTTAGCATAACGAGCTGAACAAACTGCTATAGGAAGAAGGCAAGGAGTTCCATGAAGGAATCTCAAGCTGCAGAGAGGAAAACATATATTGTTATTAAAATTTTAAGACACCAAGGAAAAGAAGGAGCAATAAGTAATAGATCAAATTATCCCCAAAATCCAAAAGAAATATTGGCTTTCTACTATACAAGGATTATCATCTTCTAGCATAGTCTAAAAGAAAAGCCATCTTTTTCGAGCTTACATTTACATACATAAGAGGCAAAAAAATGATGAAACAAGAGCTCCTACGATATGAGAGAAGTGAAACAATCTCCATTGAAGATACTATCACTAAACTAAACACTAGAGCAGGGTTCATAAGAAACTATAGAAGTATAGTGACAACTATCTTCTCATCAAGAATATCAGATAGTCAATTGTTAAGAACATAGGGTAATTTAGACAATAATAATATAAAGGGTCCTCGTTCAATTTCACACTAACTCTAATAGTTTATAAAACTAAACACTAGAGTAGGCTGGAAAAGATATTGATTTTACTTAAAGTTGTCAATAGGTTGGAGTTAAGTTATCAATCACTGTGAAAAATCAGGTGTCATGCGGAAGCTAGCAAAACAAACCTTGAACGACGATAAATCATACAACAAAAAGAAATATACCAAAAGAGACACAAACATTTAACGTGGTTCGGTCAACTGACCTACGTCCACAACGGAGATGAGCAATCCACTATATAAAAAGAGAGTACAAAATATCGAGAGAACAACCTTACGAAGAGGCAAACACAAGTGACACACTAACACTTGTCCCGTAAAGTTCTCCCCCTAAACACTACTCTCAAGCCCCTATGGCTACATTGTGGATGCTACTGAATGAGAAGGACGGATCTTCAATTTATAGAACTCCAAACCTTTTCCTACAAGAAAAAGGACTAGCCAAGTATAGGAGAATTATAATTTCCTTCTACAAAAAGGAAAACCCAATTAAGGTAATTATATTGTTCTTTCCTTCAACAAATAGGAAAATCAAATATGGTAAGAAAATTATGGCAAACACCTAACAATTCTCCCCCTTGGCCAGAATTTTCTGACAAAATAAACTTCATCCACCTTCTTCACATAGACTTCAACAGGTCGCATCTCCAAATCTCCACCACAAAGTTTGTCTCAACGTGCGTAGCACACCGATCAAATTTCTCAGACAAAATCACGATTATCGTCAAATATGTTGCGGCTAGAACTGAACCCGCCAAGATGAACCTGTCTTGAACCTCGCTCTGATACCACTTGTTAGGACTAAAAAAAATCAGGTGTCATGCGGAAGCTAGCAAAGCAAACCTTGAACGACGATAAATCATACAACAAAAAAAATATACCAAAAGAGACACAAACATTTAACGTGGTTCGGTCAACTGACCTACGTCCACAACGGAGATGAGCAATCCACTATATAAAAAGAGAGTACAAAATATCGAGAGAACAACCTCACGAAGAGGCAAACAAAAGTGACACACTAACACTTGTCCTGTAAAGTTCCCCCTAAACTCTCTCAAGCCCCTATGGCTACATTGTGGATGCTACTGAATGAGAAGGACGGATCTTCAATTTATAGAACTCTAAACTTTTTCCTACAAGAAAAAGGACTAGCCAAGTATATGAGAATTATAATTTCCTTCTACAAAAAGGAAAACCCAATTAAGGTAATTATATTGCTCTTTTCTTCAACAAATAGGAAAATCAAATATGATAAGAAAATTATGGCAAACACCTAACAAATAGCGATATCTAAGTATACACAAATAATATTAGCTATAGACACGAAACTCCACCACCTTGATTACCCAAGAACAACAAATACACCTTTGCCTTCCAAAGGTGGTATCCCATTCCATTTAAAATTTCAAAGCTCTCTGAAATTTTTCCTCCCTTTTTCCCAACAGGGAGTCCAACTAAGGTTCCATGAAACCATTATTGAAAATAAAAGGACACCATTTTTCTTCAATTATTTAATATCTTACAATCCGTAAATAACATCGAGAAATTAATTAGCACTATAAGGCAACAAAGTTGCTACATTATATGGAGGTTGCTATTTCGATAAGAACAACTGATTTTTTTAGTAGAGAAAAATTGAATTTACAGAGACAATAAAAATATTAAGGCCTAGAATATATTATATTAGAGACAGAGTTCATAGAGTTATACTACTAGGCATGAAGAATAATATTACAACAAAGTATTTTATTTTCAATAAGAATTACTTAACTATAGAAACGAGAAGAACATCAGTAACAAGAAATTACCTGCCCTTTGAGCTGTCAAATATAAATCTTCCGGGGCATATATTTTACCTCTAACAAAGTACTCATAAACAAATGGAGCATAATTTTCCGAACAAGGCACTCAAATTATAACAGAAAAAAAGCATATCGGAAAACATTATCAAGTCAAAAGCATTTGTCACAAGAATTTTGCAACTTATAACACTCTTAAGTTGCAAGAGTGTACTACAATTCAAGTTATAAGATTTTTTATTATTGCCCTTCTACTCGGAGTTCTTAGTTCCATATACAATTATTGTGTACTACAAGCTCGTATAACCTAGTCTACCAGTATCATCCCAAGAAGGCCTGCTAATCATCAGAGACAACATTAAATTATCATCGCTGCATCAATTGTTCAAAGAAAGCAAAAAATTTATCAGAATTACAAAGTATAACATCCTCAATTCTTTGGGTAAATATCACTGTTCCAACACTCAATTCACTAAATTAAACAGAGGAACTTTGATAACGCCTAATAATCCATCACAACCACACAACAAATACCTAAGTATACGATAGCTAGGTTGGTACATATATTATGAGAAATTTGTAACGAAAATTGAGCATATATAAGTTAACAATTAGGGCACAAACTAAATACTAAAATAAAAAATTAGTCAAAATACAAAGAACAAAAATAGAAAGAAAAAAGGATAAAAGCCAAACCTAGGGCTCAGAATTTGCAAAATTTCTGAAATTGGTGGAGGCTGATGAGAGATGAGGNTATATAAGTAAGAGAGAGAGATGAATTGTATAACCTGGTGATGGCGACTTGCCATGTGAAGGCGTCGTCGGTGGTCGGATGATAGTCAGCAAGGGAATTGGGTAAACAAAAATAGAAGAAAAATGAGTATCTCGATGATGGCTGAATTAGAATTGAATTTAGTGGGTATTTTTTTGTGATTTACATGGAGGGAATGTGTGAGCGGGAGTGAACATTTAGAAGATAAAGATTGGAGGGAATATAAAATAATAAAAGCTGGATTTTTATTAAACTTTTAATGGCTATTTCTTTCAATTGCCACTATAAATGTATCTATTCCTGGAAATTAATTATTGCCAGTAATATTTGAGTGTCGGGAATCAATTAGTGGCAAAACACTTATTGCCACTAAATAATAGCCACAATTAGTAATTTTTGTACTAGTGCCATACAATACGGTGCCTGACACCAAATCAATACCGAAATCAACAACTCTGTCCGGCAGCATGCCTGGCTGCAGGAACACATCCGAAAAATCCCTCACGAAGGCCAAATAAGAAGACAACCCTTCCCAACTATCCGTTGGGTCTTCAAAAATGAAATCACCCAACTGGGAACATAATCCGTCAAACCTCGCCACTCAATCAGTGGCATCCCTGGATTAGCCAACGTCGCTGTCTTGGCGCAACAATCCAGAATAGCACGACTGAGACCACCAATCCATACCTAATATGCAACGATCCGACTGGTCGTTTTGAGCTTTTGCACTTTGCTCGCCAGTTCTCGGGCATGACTTACCCCTTGTGATATATTATGACTTAAGTAAATCGTTGGTTTTGGTTTTCAAGGTAATCAGAATGAATTTGGAAGGACAGTTCTCAGTTTGAAGCTTGAAATTTGAAAGGGTTGACCAAGTTTTGATTTGTTTGTATATGATCTCGGATTGGATTTTTTATGATTTGGTTAGCTCCGTTAGGTGATTTGGGACTTACGAGCGTGATCGGAATGCATTTTGGAGGTCCTTGGAAGGTTTAGGCTTGAATTGGCGAAATTGAGATTTTGGCGTTTTCCAGTTGATAGGTGAGATTTTGAAATAGGGGTCAGAATGGAATTCTGGAAGTTTTAGTAGTTCCGTTGTGTCATTTGGGATGTGTGTGCAAAATTTCAGGTCATTCGCACGTGGTTTGGTTGGGTTTTCGATCAAAAGTGTAATTTTAGAAGATTCTTGGAATTCTTAGGCTTGAATCCGATGCAATTTGGTATTTTGATGTTGTTTTGGGTGTTTCGAAGGTTGGAACAAGTTCAAATGATGTTATAGGACATGTTGGCATGTTTGGTTGAGGTCCTGGGGGGCCTCGGGTGAGTTTCGGGTGGTCAATCGGACCATTTCATGTTGTGAAAAATTGCAGAATTTCTGTTGTTGGTGTTGCAGGTTTTTGACCTTCGCGTTCGCGATGCATGTCCAGCATTCGCGAAGGTTAAGGTGTGAGGCTGTGGAGTTGGTCTTCGCATTCGCGAAGATGGTTCCGCGATCGCGAAGGTGTGTGGTCTATGGTCATCGCGTTCGCGAGTCTCCTGTCGCGTTCGCATAGAGGAAGGGGGATAGCTGGGTCCCCAATGCTTTTGTTCTATGCGTTCGCGTAATAGAGGTCGCGTTCGTGACTTGTTGAGTTTGTTGTGCTTCACATTCGCGAGAAGGTTATCGCGTTCGCATATAAGAAATTCCGGTCTGTGAAGCAGTGTGCTTCGCGAACGCGAGGGATGTGCCGAGTTCGCAATGAAGGAAAATTTGGGCAGACAGTTTATATTTTAAAATCGAGGGTTTAAGTCCAATTTCTTAAAAACCATTGGAGAGCTCAGGAGAAGGTGGAATTTGAGGAGATTTTCAGTGGAGCTATTGGGGTAAGTAGTCTTCACTCATATTTGGTTTAATTCCATGATTTGGTTTTGAATTTCATTATTTAATTTGAGAAATTAGAGTGAAAATTGGGAAAAAATTTGAGATTTCTTTTGGGGATTTGAATGGGCAATTGAGGTCGGATTTTGACGAATTTGATATGGGTAGACTCGTGATAGGATGAGGATTCTATTGATGTAATTTTTATTGGATTCTGAGACCTGGGCCCGGGGGCCGGGTTTGAGCATTTTCGGGATTTTTGATGTAAATTGGATATTTTCGAGTGGGCTTTATTCTCTTAGCATATTTTAATGGTTATGTACTGATTGTGGCTAGATTTTGAGTATCCGGAGGTCGATTCGTGAGGGCAAAAGCATCGCGGGCTGGAGTTTGGACCGGATCGAGGTGATTAATGATTGTAAATGTTGTCCTGAGGGTATGAAACCCTGGATTGCGCATCGTTGTGCTATATTGAGGTGATACACACGCTAGATGACGAGCGTGGGGTCGTGCACTGTTGGGGATTGTGACTTAGTCCATCCCGAATGATTGTTTTACCGCGTATTTGATTGAAAACTGCTTGCTATCATCATGTTTTGGGCTGAATGCCATATTTGGGCATAGTGCCAACTATTTGAACCCTTATGGGATTTTATTTAATATTTCTCCACTGTTTTGACTTTAAACTTGTACTCAGTCATGCTATATTCTACTCTTTTCATAACTCAGCCATGTTTACTCTGTTTTAACATATTAAATGATATTTCAAATAATATTTTGGGTTGAGCATCATGTTTTACTATTGCCCGGGTGGCTTATGAGAGTTTGACTGAGTAAGGCCGAGGGCCTGTGTTGTGAGGATACTTTTGGGTCGGGCTGCATGCCGCAGCAGTGATACACTAATTATGATTATGAGGCCGAAGATGTATGCCACGAGGTGGCTTGTTGATATGAGGCCGATAGCCTAGTGATGATGTCACACGATGGCTTGATATTGCGCTTGGGCCGTAAGGGGCCCCTCCAGGAGTCTGCACACCCCCAGTGAGCGCGGATACCCATTGTGATATGAGATATAGCCCAAGGGGCTGGTATTGTTCCATGTTGCCCGAGGGGCTATTTCTGTTGGTAATTGTCTCGAGGGGCGTTTTCTATGCTTATCTGTTCTAGTTGATTTGCATTTAATTGCTTAACTGTAAAAAGGTATTTTAAAGAAGTTTAAATTGAGCTAAGATGTTTTAAGAGATTTCACAGCTTCATTGCTTTCTTACTGGTTTTATACTGCTTTTATACAACATGTTGATGTGTTTTACGTGATTTCTTATCGCTCAGTCTCCATTTATTATTATTATTCACTGAGTCGGAGTACTCACATTACTCCCTGCATCTCGTGTGCAGATTCAGGTAGTTCTGAACCTGGTAGCGGGTATTGGTTGACCAAAGACAGAGTCATTGGAGTTTAGCAAGGTAACTGCACGACGTCTGCATCACTACTTTTCTCCCTCTTGATGTCATTAGACTGTATTTAGTACATTTTTTACTTTCCATTATATTTAAACCTTAGTAGATGCTCGTCACTTGTGACACCCCAATGTCGGGCTGTATGTATTTTCGCACTATTTATTTTTAAACTTACTTTGTGCAATTTCCGATTAATTAAAAAGGCTTAAATTGACTTATTAAAATTGTTGAAATGAATTTGGGGATTGTGTCGGCTGGCCTTGTCTTCACGAGAGGCGCCATCACGACCGGGTCCGGTTTGGGGTCGTGGCACAATTTCACCTCAAAATCCACCATATTAAGCAACAAACTTTTCACTCAGGTCTCCAAACCTCCAATAGTCACCACACAAGACCGATATACTCGGTCCACAACCACGACATAACCTGTCTATGAGAACTCCCGGTCTCCAAATCCATAAAGCACACGAATCACCATATCCGATCCCAACTCCACTGCCTGAACATCTAACATACATCTGATACTTGATCATTCCACGAGGGATACTCCAAAAATTCTCCGGTGCTACCAAGCAAACTTGAATATCAGCAATTGATCCAACAAGAGAGTGTCGCAATACTAAGGATACTCCTTAACTCAAACACATCGCCCTTTTCTGAAAATGTATACCCTCATCAAGCCACCCCAATTAGTAATATCATTTCCCTAATCTTCTGAAACTGCCTGTGCTGCCTAAGAATTCATGACCTTCCTTTCAGAACTGGACCGTGACCTTACACATGAAAATCTCGGTCCTACACAACATACCACATATACCATACCATCCTAGGATAACCATGAGAACTTCATACCCATTTCGAGCCACAAGCAACTACGTACTCAACTAGTCGAGAACTTTCCATTTGATCCCATCTAGAAGAAAATCACTATTCATCACATGCTCCTCACGCTAGTAGAAAAATATACATAGAACCGTGGTAGAAGCCATCAAGAATTCTCCGAATCCCATTTGCACACAACCAAACTGTCAGGACTGAATCGTTCTAACTCAACCAAGCTACGCAGATCACCAAAACCCAAGAGCATTGCCACGAAACACCTGCAAAAACTCATTACCTCATAAGCGCCCAAAGAACTAATCATATCCCGTACCATGCCGATCCGACCTACTACCAAGTTATCCTATTTATCCAAGTTTCTTTTGAATTACCTTCGAATTGATACTTCTCCTTGCCATAATACCGTAATCCTCAACCCAGACTCCCCACACGAGACCCAAGCATTAAACCACACCGTCTAAGGCCCATAAGCCGCTGAATACTCTTTTAATATCCTCAAAAGAACCACATTCAAAATACCTACCCTGAAGAGACTTCCTGCGAATCCAGAGCCAACTTCACCTTCCTAATACTGATATGCAGAATCCCATAATTGATATAGAAGTGCCACAAGTCTTGACACCCTCCAATGTAAGCCTCAATTTCTAGCCAAATACACGTCCTAAAAATCTCCAATTATTACATGTAAATTTTGAATCCTTTAGAACCATTCTCGAAAGTCATCCACTATGCTCAAACCTCAATTAAACTAATCAAACAGACCGGACGACTTGTGCTCCATTAGCACTCCAACACCGTAGAAAGTAACACCACCTTAATGCAACCAAGCAACTTCCTGTTTTATGCACCGTACATCCCTTACCTATAACTCAAGTCATTCCA